GTAAAAAAGCAATTATAAATGGAAAAGACGGTTCTACATTGAGTAATTTTTTTATTAACTCTTAATATTTAAAAATTATATTAAATTTTGATTAATTCAACTTAAGGTTGATGGAATCCAATAAAAAATTTTTTTTCTAAATATTTGTTTTTTTTTTATTTATATGATTTAAACATAAAATTTTATTTTAAAAAAAATAAATTTATATTATTTAGATAAGTAAATCATTGGTACATTCATTGAATAACTTCTTTCTTGATGCTTAAGTTTATTGTAGTTCAAAATGTAAAAATTATTTTTTTTTTACAGAATTTGAAATGTAAATAAATTATGTTAATATTATTAGCAAGTTTCACTTGCTCTAGCAGAGGACACTTTCGAAGGGTTCGGCTAGTTTGTAATGGTGGTTTTTTTTTATTAAATTATAAAAATAAATCAAAATTAAGAAACCTAAAAATAGTTAAATCATAAAATTATCAAATATCAACACTCAACACTAATATAAATTTAATTGAATTAATGTCATTATTTAAAAGAATTTTTATATGAATTAAAAATTAAAAATTTAAACTTTTATTATACCAATCAATTACCATTTTAACGAATAAAAACCTCTTAACGAACTCTACTAAGCAGCTTGATAACCGCATTTATTATTGAGGTCGATACGTTGTTTACCTGATTTAATAATCAAATTTTTAATTATTAATTTCTAATAATAATAACTTATTAACCATTATCTTTAAAAAAAAAAAAAAAAAACCTCTCTTAACTATTCTTAGTAACCTCTCTCTCCTCTCCCATTTACTGTTGTACGTATTTGGCTCTCTTTCAAAAAAAAAAAAAAGAAAAAACCCTCATAATTAAGCTGATGCAGTGCAGCTATTATTGTGTGGTGTCATTGGACTTGTGCTCGGTGATCGGTACTCCTCTCTCTCTCTCTCTTTCTCTCTCTCTCTCTCAACTTTGTTGGCCTTGGACTTAGAGAGATGGGAGGGGTGAGTCTCTTCTGACCATCAACATAAATGAAGAGTGAATTGGTCGATAAAAGGTTGATTAACGATATTTGGAAGAGATGAAAGCAAAATTCATAGCGATATCAACATGTCCTTAAGGTTTAAATACCATTTTGCTCCCTCAATTTTTTACTTTAATACCAAAATT